GTAAAAGGCACATGAAAGCCCGCTTGGAGTTTGCCAAAAGGGACCTAAAGGACTTTAAGACCATGAGAAACAAGATTCTCTGGTCTGATGAAACCAAGATTTAAATCTTTGGCCTGAATGCCAGGTGTCACGTCTGTAGGAAGCCTGGCACCATCCCTACGGTGAAGCATGGTGGTGGGCTGCATCAGGTTGTGGGGATGTTTATCAGCGGCACGGACTAGGAGACTAGTAAGGCTCGAGGGAAAGATGAACGGCGCAAAGTTCCTTGATGAAAACCTGCTCAGGACCTCAGACTGGGGTGAAGGTTCACCTTCCAACAGGACAACGACCCAAAGCACACAGCCAAGCCAACGCAGGAGTGGCTCCGGGACAACTCTCTGAATGTCCTTGAGTGGCCCAGCCAGAGCCCGAACTTGAACCCGATCAAACATCTCTGCAGAGACCTGAAAATAGCTGTGCAGCGATGCTCCCCAACCAACCTGACAGAGCTTGAGAGGCTCTGCTGAGAAGAATGGGAGAAACTCCCCAAATACAGGTGTGCCCAGCTTGTAGTGTCATACCCAAGAAGACTCGGCTGTAATCGCTGCCATAGGTGCTTCGATAAAGTACTGAGTAAAGGGTCTGAATACATATGTAAATGTGATATTTCAGATATTTGCATATATTTCTAAAAATCAGTCTTTGCTTTGTCATTATGGAGTATTGTGTGTAGATTGATTGAGGGGAAAAAAACAATTTAATCCATTTTAGAATAAGGCTGTAACGTAACAAAATGTGGAAAAAGTCAAGGGGTCTAAATACTTTCCGAATGCACTGTATGTTTACTCAATGTTACAGTTGACATAAATCCAACATTTTCTGTTTTTGTGGGTGGAGTTATGTGTACAGATCCTGGTATGTAGATCCGACTCATCATTAGTCCACATTCTGTTTCTGAATTTGAAGTTCCAATGTTGACACCTGTTTATTGTTTTATTTTCTCTCTGCTTTTTTCTTCACAGGACCTGAAAAAACCTTTTGATAAGGCCTGGAAAGACTACGAAACAAAAGCGTAAGGATTTTAATATTTTACGAGCAGCAATATGAAAATAGGTTCTGGCCCATTCACAGTATTAGCGTAGACTACAAAGACGATCAGATGGTCATTCTATTGTCTTTTGGTCCATACTATGGCCATACCGTAGCAGTTTGTTCAAGCATTTTGATAATAGTTTGCATTTGACCGTATACAGTAATTGTCATCAGTGTAGCCCCATTTGATCATCAAATGCATAGGCAATATGTTGAATGAGATGCAATGTGATATTTGTCTTGTCCCTTGTCTGTGCTTGTAATATTCACCATCTCCCAACCAATCTCACCTTGTGGTCATCAATTAATGAATACACCCCCGAGCCGACTAGGTGAAAAATCTGTCGATGTGCCCTTGAGCAAGGCACTTAACCCTAATTGCTCCTGTAAGTCGCTCTGGATAAGAGCGTCTGCTAAATGACTAAACAAACAAACAAACAAACCCTCAATAACAAATCATCCCTACACCCCTCTATCCACACTGACGTCATTGTGATTTTGCATGCCAGCAGTATATGACATTTTATAGCACTCTGATATATTTTCCAAGCTGCAAAGGACATTCTATACTGAAAGGGTAATACATTTTCTTCTCCGGCACCAATCTGATGACGAGATAGTACTGACTTTGTAGTAAGTTCAAAGTTCAACCGGATGCCATGATGACGTCTTTGACCCCGTTTTATATTCCTCCATTGATATCTCAAATCTCTTCGTCTGCGATTATAACGCCTTTCTTATTTCACAGAAACAAAGCTATGAGACTCTTTGCCTCAAACTCCACTCTGGCCCTGACCACATTAACCCTTTACACTCATGGGAATTGTCCTATATGGGCTAAATGGAAATGTTTCTTACGGAAGACAAATAAAAAGCATATGCGTAACCATGGTAGCAATTGAAGGGAACAGTTTCAAGATTATGGGAAAACTATTAGACCAAAGGTGAGGACACAACAGTTAATTACATTGTTGATAACAAAATCAGAAAATACTCTGGATACATTCAGTAACATGATAAGAATATTCCTGGAAAATGTGGGGTAGGTGCAACATAAGACAAAACATTACAAGGGTTTGAGTGAGAGGACCAGCTGGTGTCTGTGGCCACACAACTCTCCAAAGTGTGCGTAGTCACTCAACGAAGATTCTTCAACTATAAGGTGCTTTTTTGAGCTCTCCTAGCTATGCCGTTTAGGAACTAGAGAAAGTACACTTGTAGTTGTTTTATTTGGAACACAACCCTGCACCCCGCCATCACACAATTACTGTTTTTGTTTACGCAATCCAAAAACGGTTCATTATAAATCGCAATCTGGGTCAGGTGTGCATCATTTGAAAGCCTGTTCTATTGCCAACATGACTAGCTAAGTTATGAAATACGATATTAGTGTTAGGCTTTCACAAGGCAATTCAGGGAAACAGATAATAATTTTAGTGCACATAGAAAGGAGTCATGAGTGCGTTCAGGTGCGTGTGCCGCAGCGAATTTTCTTCACAATAGACAAACTTAGGCTCATTCTGTTCAGAACAACCAAGGTTATTACGCCATGTCATCTTGTAACTGTTGTTGTGACATGACTTTCATTATTGTGATGACTATTATTTATCAAATAATTACCTACTATGTTTAATTTTTACTAGATTAAATTAATCATGTAACAATTAACTCATTAGGAATTTGGGGCACCATGGGAAAAGTTGTTTAACGAGTTACCGTTTCCCGAATTAACTCTAAAGATATCTAGCTATCTCTTATCATTTAACAGTCATTTATCATTTACCTCAGTCTCATTCTGAAAGTCGTAGACTCTTTAAGTCTGCACGAACCCGGGTCTTACTGATCATTCCGTACCACACAAATTTATTTAATTATTTATTTACTAACTAATTAAAAATGATAACACAAGAAGTCTGATCTGATCATTCTTCTCAATCTGGTAAAGAGGGGCGTTTCCGTCATACTGACACGCTCTCTGAGCTCCCTCGGGCGTGGCTAGTTATGAGGCAAAAGTATTATCATCACTATGATTTTGTTAGAAAGCTAAAATCACATTCCTATCTTCATGAAAACATTGTCTTCCTCCTTGATATTTTCTACCCAAGGTACAGGATGTAATCCTGATATCCACAGTGTAAAAGCTCTTCAAGTCACAATGTTTTCCTTATAACGCCTTTATACCATTTAATGACATCACAAAATAGACATTAATTTTCCATATTCCATCATTCCCAACGTTTGGATGTTTAAATATATTGTCCCGATGTTCATTGTTGGATGTTGAAGTTTTTGGGCGGCAAAAAGTATCTGAAACAAAGGCATTCCTTTCACCATACTAGGATGCCAGAGATAGATTCTCCTATCTCTAGTTTATGGCAGTATTAAGGTGTCGAGACCGGCACAGCCCCCCTGTGGGTAAGATTGGCCATTTGCCAAGCTGATGTGAGGCCTTCGATCCTCACCCAGGGAGAGTCATGACACTGTACATCAAACATAGTGATCATAAACGTTGACATTGTATATGACATGAGTTTTATAATATGGAAATATGAAGTTCACAACTCACTGGTGTTTTGCTTGCTTGTATGACATCAAAGCTGTATATATTATAATCCTCAACATCTTATCTTTCAAAATACATAATGTCCTCTTAATTTATAGCATTTCCACTCAGACAACAAAACATTTGCAAAAGTTGCCCAATTAGCGGGAGGGATGGGGGAAACGTCTTGCCGCGTGCGGTGTTCAAGTTCAGAACGTCTGTCAGTCAAAACCCATACAGTGCTGTGAAGCGCAGAGCCAGAGCTCTGACATCATGTAGAGCATGTTACTGTACAGCCACTGCGTTCCAATTTAGGCATTTATCAATGCCCAAATCTGCCATTTTCAACCTGTATACGGGTATGAGTGTAAAGGGTTAAACTGGTTTGCGAACACCCTGCTGTTGTCCCTACAGTTTGAGTTCCAGTTGATCTACTATCTCTTATCTCTGTATCAACGGTCTTTCGTGGCTCTTGTGGCAACTGCGCAACATGTGGCTGTTTTGAGCTTTTTCTCTACCCTAATGCTTCTGGGCTGAGGATTAATGTGTTAGCTTTGCAGAGGTTTTATTAATGAAAGAAGTCGCATCTTGAAGTGTTTCCGTATGACAGTTACTTGATGTGTAGGAAGCGGGGCCCTTGGAGTGCATCCAAGCACCCTGATTGGTTGGCATCAGCGGGTGATTGACAGGCCTGAAGGCCAATCAGATTGAGAGGGCCAGCCTTTTTTACACAGCAAGTTTTTTAAATACAAAAGAGTTAGGTCTGCTTAATAATTATTTTTTGCCAAGGAAAAAATATTGTGATGCTGGTATCATCACAGCCCTAATAACATTGTGGTTACGCAGCCTTACAGGAGCAGACCAGGGCGCAGCGCTGGCTCATGCATTCACACACCACTCTGCCATCAGCTTGATGCCCCTCCCCTCTCTGTCTGTCTGTTTTGATATGATCTGTTTGTCGTTATGTTTCTTGGTTCTGATTCGTTTGGAATAGCCTTGTTGCGTCTGTGTCTTGATGCTTCCAAATGACCCAAGCTGTCGACTGACTGCATCCAGAGTTGCCAAAAAATGGACAAGTCATTAACGTTGGTTTAATGATGGACCACAGTGATGAGGGCCTAACACCCATAACCAAACGCATGAGTGAGAGGCCGTCTGCTCTCAAACCTGAATGAAAACAGGCGTCACTTGAGTCTCCCTAAGCTTCTTCATGGGAGGAGCCAAATGCTGCATCCTTTTGTAGGGGAATATGCTAAGCTAGTTAGCATATGTAAAATCATTACCTGTTGCATGGAATGGTCCTTCCCCTTCCCTCCTCTGTATATTTCCTGTTTGGTGTACTGTCCGTTTATGTTTGTGTCCGTGGTTGGGAATGCCACAAGGCGTCATGGTGCACACTTTGACCCCCAATGATGTCACTTCCTGTCTTAGCACTAAGATCGAGAAGGAGAAGAAGGAGCATGCGCGGCAGCATGGCATGATCCGCACTGAGATCAGCGGGGCAGAGATAGCAGAGGAGATGGAGAAGGAGAGGAGGTTCTTCCAGCTGCAGATGTGTGAGGTGGGTAAGGAAAGTGGTGGAGCTCAGGCCTGGGTTGCCAGATAAGGTCAAGTACAGAGACGTAGTGGAGGGTTTGCTGACATTGTGAAATTCTGTCTCGCAGTATCTTCTTAAAGTGAATGAGATCAAGATCAAGAAAGGGGTGGACCTACTCCAGAATCTCATCAAATATTTCCATGCACAGTGCAAGTAAGTCCTGAACTCAGTGAAAGTTTGCATTTAACCAAATGTTCACCTCGTGGGGAAAACGGCTGATGTAGATTTGTCTGTCTCTCTTCAGTTTCTTTCAGGATGGGCTGAAGGCAGTAGACAACCTCAAACCCTCCATAGAGAAGCTAGCCATAGACTTACACACGGTGAGTTCCTCAAGACTACTGTTGACATCTTTATGGGTATGTAAGGACTTTCCTGTTGAATTCAACAAAAGTATTCTGTGTGACTCTGTAATCTTTGTATGACCCATGTGACCTTTGTATGACCTATGTATGACCTTTCTGTGACCTCTCCAGATAAAGCAGGCCCAGGACGAGGAGAGGAAGCAGCTCACTCAGCTACGGGACGTCCTCAAGTCAGCGCTACAGGTGGAGCAGAAGGAGGTAACACCCATAGACTGAGACAGCTCTAGGGCCCATAGCCTGTTTTAGCATGGGCAGCGCCACTGAGGACTTTCACCATTTTTAAGTAGTCAACAGGGAGTGACTTCCTGTGGGTTAAGGAAGGATCACATCATTCCATCCAGGTCATCAAAAGAGATCAGGCAATCAATTATACTCCTGAGCAATGTTCCCTCAAAGCTGCGCACAGTAGCCCGAGACTGCTGCGCGGCTCTCCTGGGACTGCAGCGCAGAAATATCAGCCCACAGAGAGATGCAGGAATTTGAACTTCACTCAACTTTCTAGAGCAGTGGTCACCAACCGGTCAATCGCGATCGACTGGTCGATCTCCAAGGCATTCCTAGTCGACGATAAAGCCTTTTGTTCCTTTTATTAATTTTTTTGCCTCGGGTTGTTTGCCGTAGGTGCACATGATTCAGCTGCCCTGTTCGTTGGGTAGGCAAACTGTTGCCATTTGAACATTTTACATTTACATTTTAGTCATTTAGCAGACGCTCTAATCCAGAGCGATTTACAGTTAGTGAGTGCATACATTTACATACTGAACCATTTAATGTGTCTGAAGGTACAAACTCTGCCTTCCCGGCGGGCCCAGAGAGCAAATCAAGTGTGCTATAGGCCTACCGCTGGCCAGTTTGGATGGCTCAGATGACCGTGTCTGCAGTAACATAGCTACAGCAAAGTTGATACTGTGAGATTTCAAAATGTATAAAACCATGACTAGAGAGAGACTGTCAACGAATACAGCAAAGAGATGCTGTTTTTATGAGTGAGTTCATGCTTAAGTTCTTACTCAGCACTGTCAACACTTCGTATTCAACACTTTTATAAGCCATAAAATGTGTGTTCTTCCTATTTCCACTCAGGGCTACAACAAGCACTTCTGCAGTAATGAATGAGTAGGAAAGTGTATCTATAGGCTTGCGTTGTTGTTATTATTAGCGGCTTGGGTCTTTTTTAATATCGAGGAATATTTCACTTTCTCTGTTCATAGGAGTAACAACATGAATTTGTGCGTGAGGCAGATTTCGCAATCAGTTGGAAGACGGTGTCCCTTTTTGGTCAGTGTCAGTTGGAAGACGGTGTCCCTTTTTGGTCAGTGTCAGTTGGAAGACGGTGTCCCTTTTTGGTCAGTGTCAGTTGGAAGACGGTGTCCCTTTTTGGTCAGTGTCAGTTGAGATGTTGAGAGGAGGACCGTCAGTCTGCTGCTCTTCCCTCCTATTCTATTGCGTTGTCACGCACCACTCAGCCCGTATTCTACACTGACCGATGCAGCATAAACCATCAGAGCTGCAGTAGGCCTATATGCAAATAGACCATTGCCATATATGGATCTGTGCCATTTACTTTGAACTGGACTGTGTTTACAGCAAGAGCGGTCGTGAGTAGATGCGCTTGTTTTGAGATCAAAGCGAGAGCTGCATGTAACCACGTGTGCACATTTTGTTCATATCCTTTGCTAGTTAGTGAGTTATAAGCCTAGTTATAGATCATTTGTAGTCAGCAATAGGGGAATGATTGCTTCCAACAAGAGCACAAAGCGTATACATTTCTAGACATCTTTTAAAAACGAGTCAGGTAAAGAGCTTTTTTTTTGTCTTAAAGGGGCAGTGTTGTATTTTGAGAAATGCTTGAATAAGCTAAGTAGTCAATAGGCAGATAGCATAATTTGTCTGATTCTTTGTAATAATGGTATGGGAATAATAATGCATTTTATTTTTTAAAGTGGTTTCTTGCATCATCCAGCACAACGTTTTCAGTCACCTCCTTGTCTGAAGGACAAGTGGATAAACAGGTTAATGTCAAGCCCTGCATGTTTTTAAAAAAAGTATCATGGAATGTAGGCCTACATTGAACAACACACATTGGCTGCTACTGTAGGCTGAATGATAGAACAGCTATTTCCATGTTAAAATGTTATGGGATGCATTTTCTCCATTGTTTTTGATGGTAGGCCACTGTAGTAGGCCTACATTATGATCAAATAGCTACAGTAGCCAACTTGACCACTGTTAAAACTGTAACTTAAAGTGGGTACAGGCTCAGTGTTCACAGTAAACGTGTAAACGCGCGCTGGACGTTGCACCGAATTTTCACAACGTTCAAGTTTGCACTCAGCTGACCTGAAGTTTGCTCAGTGCCCACATTTTTTTGAGGGAACATTGCTCCTGAGCAAACATTCCATAGCTACAGGTGGCAGTAAATACAAACCTTGGCTTCATACCTGTTCAGACAACACACTCCAGGTGGCAGTATGCACCCTATCTGTTTGTTTAACGACTCATAGAAGTAGTAGAAGAAGAAATGGACTACTTCAAAATGGAGAAAGGCGCTGCCTATGCCGCCATTTTGGCACAGATGCAAAGAAGCCCCCTCTATCGACCTTTAATGGGAACACCCACCAATGACACACAAACAGTACACACACATGGCAACCCTCTACTGGCCTAGTCTTTTCACTGTCACAAGCCCAAGTTAGACCTACAATAATATAGCTGTCTGTATCTAATCTAATCTGCTTCATTCCTATCCTATTAGTGATGCATTTACATGTTCAAAATCCTGATATACATAACCAAAGCCCCCTTCACTCCCTGTCAACTTTAGCAAGCTAATTGAAAGAACCCATTAATGGTATATGGTGCACTCTTACGATGTGCTTTAATACTGTCTTTTACCGGATGCTTTTATCCAAAATGACTTTCAGTTGCCACATGTACTTATGTACTTCCTGGCTTTAGCTACTATGTGGAGAACTAGGCTACTGTCTGTTTTATCTCTATGTTCTCTTCTTCACTTCACTGCCTCCGCCTCTTTGTGAACCAAGTCTAGGAGAGTAAGTTTATCGTCTGCGCGCACTTTCTGTGCTTGTCTATCTATGGTTGTGGTGTTTTGTCAATCATTTTCAAAAGAGAGCGTTTGTGGGGGAAGAGATGGGCGGGGCAGGGCGGTTGGGGGGGGGGGGGGATTTGAAACGCGGAGGTGCTATCTGTACTTATGAAATAGTTGTTTTCCTTTTTAATTGTTACACCTGAAGACGTTCCTTTAGAAGGCCTTTGCCCCTCCCCCTCTCGGTTTCCCTATACCACTTTCTGTGACGAGGGGATGTCACTAGTGCATGACCCCAGGGCTTTGCTTGTCTTATATGTACATATTGTAGCAGCATCTCAATAGTCTAAAGATGCTCCCCTTCCTTGTCTCCTCTCCTTCATCGGCACTAAAAGCAGTGGATGGGTGAAAGCAGATGCCCAGCCAGCATCCCGATCCGCCATATTGCTTTCTCCTATCCTGGAATTTTCAGATTAGAGCTGACAAAGGAGAGGTACAAGGAGAGGAAGCCACTGTAGACAATTGAGATGCACCCCACCCAAACTCACTGGCTGTTGTGTCTTGTGCCTTATGTTTGTGTGTGTGTGTGTGTGCCGGTATTGTTGAAGGAGTCCCAGGTTCGACAGAGCACCACCTACAGTTTGCACCAGCCTCAGGGCAACAAGGAGCACGGTACCGAGCGCTGTGGGAACCTCTACAAGAAGAGTGACGGGTCAGTTTCTCGCTTTCTTCTGTTAAACGTGTAGCATCTTCAAAAAACATTCAAAGAACCAAATGGCCAGACCAAACAAACAAACACACAAAGTTCCCTCAGGTAATTGTGATGGCATTTAGAGGCGAACGTGCATAAAAATGGCAGAATACAAATATGATGTCATTGTTTTAAGACTATCCACTGAGTTTTTAAACTACGGCGCGCGATATGGTTCAATGTGCCAATAATGTGCCAATTACCTCCCTTATTGCTGATACAGCATATAAGGAAATCCATATTCCATGTTATTTTTATGGTTGAGCTTCTCCCCGGAGACATGAATACACTGCCCAGACTGTACACCATTACTTATGCATGTACATATTAATGAGCCATCACACTGGTGTGGTTGATGTTAATAATTCATTAGCCATGTCTGTTCGGTTACAATGTGGATTCATCCAGTGTGTCACACTGGAGCTGGGATGTTATGTCTGTGTGTGTCACAATATGTCGTGTGCCCCATCCCCCCCCCCCCCCCCCCCCCCCCCCCAGGCTAAGGAAAGTGTGGCAGAAGAGAAAGTGTTCAGTAAAGAACGGATACCTTACCATATCACATGGGACGGTGAGTAATGTGCACACACACACACACACACACGGACACGGACACGGACACATACGCACAGAGGGCAAGACAACCTAGTCCTAGCCAGTTAGCATTAATTTAAAGTAGGCTAACGGCACTAGCCTGTTAGCCTACACTTCACCCGCCTGCTCTCTTAATGGAGATGAAGCACTCAATCTCACTCATTCTGTCAAACCAGACTGTTCACTGGTTATCAAACATCTCAGGCATCAGACATGCCCAACATGGAGCACTTTGGGTTAATTTAGCTAAAATGGTGGTGGCTTTAGTATTAGAATCACTCTAACACCTCAAAGAGTGTCATACACTACATGTCCAAAAGTATGTGGACACCTGCTCGTCGAACATCTCATTCCAAGATCATGGGCATTATTATGGAGTTGGTCCCCCCTTTGCTGCTATAACAGCCTCCACTCTTCTGGGAAGGCTTTCCACTAGATGTTGGAACATTGCTGCGGGGACTTGCTTCCATTCAGGCATAAGTGCATTAAAGAGGTCGGACACTGATGTTGGGCGATAGGGCCTGGCTCGCAGTCGGCGTTACAATTCATCCCAAAGGTGTTCGATGGGGTTGAGGTCAGGGCTCTGTGCAGGCCAGTCAAGTTCTTCCACACCGATCTCAACAAACCATTTCTGTATGGACCTCGCTTTGTGCAAGGGGGCATTGTCATGCTGAAACAGGAAAGGGCCTTCCCCAAACTGTTGCCACAAAGTTGGAAGCACAGAATCATCTAGAATGTCATTGTAGGCTGTAGCGTTAAGATTTCTCTTCACTGGAACTAAGGGGCCTAGCCTGAACCCTGAAAAATAGCCCCAGACCATTATTCCTCCTCCACCAAACTTTACATTTGGCACTATGCATTAGGGCAGGTAGCGTTTTCCTGGTGTCTGCCAAACCCAGATTAGTCCGTCGGACTGCCAGATGGTGAAGCATGATTCATCACTCCAGAGAATGCGTTTCCACTGCTCCAGAGTCCAATGAAGGCAAGCTTTACACCACTCTAGCCGACACTTGGCATTGCGCATGGTGTTCTTAGGCTTGTGTGCGGCTGCTCGGCCATGGAAACCCATTTCATGAAGCTCCCGACGAACAGTTATTGTGCTGGTGTTGCTTCCAGAGGCAGTTTGGAACTCTGTAGTGAGTGTTGCAACCGAGGACAGACAAATTTTACGCGCTTCAGCACTCGGCGGTCCCGTTCTGTGAGCTTGTGTGACCTGGCACTTCTCACCTAGACATTTCCACTTCACAATAACAGCACTTACAGGGCAGAAATTTGACGAACTGACTTGTTGGAAAGGTGGCATCTTATGACAGTGCCACGTTGAAAGTCACTGAGCTTTTCAGTAAGGCCATTCTACTGCCAATGTTTGTCTGTGGAGATTGCATGGCTGTGTGCTCGATTTTATACACCTGTCAGCAACGGGTGTGGCTGAAATATCTGAATCCACTCATTTGAAGGGGTGTCCGCATAATTTTGTAAACAAGCACCAGGGTCTCACCGGTCTATTGATTTCCTCTACTCTGCTCCACTTCCCTCCATTACACTAGATTTACTCTCTCGCTCTCTCTCTCTCTCACTTCATTGCCGTCTTACGCCATCTTCCTCTCTCCCTCTCTCTCTCTCTCTCTCTCTCTCTCCCTCTCTCTCCCTCTCTCTCTCATATCGCCGTCTCACTCCATCTTCCTCTCTCTTGCTTTCTCTCTTGCTCTCACTTCATCGCCGTCTCGCTCCATCTTCCTCTCTTTGTTTTATCTTCCTCTCTCTCTCTCTCTCTCTCTCTCACTCTCTCTCGCTCCCCCTATTTCAAAAGGCACACATACACAAACACACCACACTTTCTCCCTCTCTCTCTCTACCTCTTTCTCTTCCTCCATCCAACCCATTTTGACATTTACATTTTAGTCATTTAGCAGATACTTTTATCCAAAGCGACTTACATTAGTGAGTGCATATATTTTCATACTTCTTTTCGTACTGGTCCCCCATGGGTATCAAACCCACAGCCCTTCTCTCCATGGCCAGCCAGCTGTGTGTAGAGGTTGAGGGAGGGAAAGCAATCAGGGCTGGTTTTGAAGCACCCTGAGCACAAACCGTGGCCTGGTTTCATCCACCACTGCAGAGCAGAACACCACAGTAAAGGAGCTAGTCCTCAGCAGACAGGCCCATGCTAACAGACCTTAACACAGGGGGGGAAATAGTCCTTATGAAAACTGCGTAAGAGAGCCTCTATGTTATGTTCTAATAACTAAGGGGGAAGAGCAAGATAGTGTTATGTTGTAATAACTAAGGGGGGAGGTAGTGTTATGTTTTAATAACTAAGGGGGGAGATAGTGTTATGTTGTAATAACTAAGGGGGGAGGGCAATATGGTGTTATGTTGTAATAACTAAGGGGGGAGGGCAATGTGGTGTTATGTTGTAATAACTAAGGGGGGAGGTAGTGTTATGTTGTAATAACTAAGGGGGGAGATAGTGTTATGTTGTAATAACTAAGGGGGGAGGGCAATGTGGTGTTATGTTGTAATAACTAAGGGGGGAGGTAGTGTTATGTTGTAATAACTAAGGGGGGAGGGCAATGTGGTGTTATGTTGTAATAACTAAGGGGGGAGGGCAATGTGGTGTTATGTTGTAATAACTAAGGGGGGAGGTAGTGTTATGTTGTAATAACTAAGGGGGGAGGTAGTGTTATGTTGTAATAACTAAGGGGGGAGGTAGTGTTATGTTGTAATAACTAAGGGGGAGGTAGTGTTATGTTGTAATAACTAAGGGGGAGGGCAATGTGGTGTTATGTTGTAATAACTAAGGGGGGAGGTAGTGTTATGTTGTAATAACTAAGGGGGGAGGGCAATGTGGTGTTATGTTGTAATAACTAAGGGGGGAGGGCAATGTGGTGTTATGTTGTAATAACTAAGGGGGGAGGTAGTGTTATGTTGTAATAACTAAGGGGGGAGGTAGTGTTTATGTTGTAATAAACTAAGGGGGAGGTAGTGTTATGTTGTAATAACTAAGGGGGGAGGTAGTGTTAGTTGTTGTAATAACTAAGGGGGAGGTAGTGTTATGTTGTAATAACTAAGGGGGGAGGTAGTTGTTATGGTTTGTAATAACTAAGGGGGAGGTAGTGTTATGTTGTATAACTAAGGGGGGAGGTAGTTGTTATGTTGTAATAACTAAGGGGGGAGGTAGTGTTATGTTGTATAACTAAGGGGGGAGGGCATATGTGTTATGTTGTAATAACTAAGGGGGGAGGGCATGTGATGTTGTATATAAGGGAGTAGTGTTTGTAATAACTAAGGGGGGAGGTTGGTGTTATGTTGTAATAACTAAGGGGGAGGTGGTGTTATGTTGTAATAACTAAGGGGGGAGGTAGTGTTATGTTGTAATAACTAAGGGGGGAGGGCAATATGGTGTTATGTTGTAATAACTAAGGGGGGTAGTGTATGTGTAATACTAAGGTGGGGTAGTGTTATGTTGTAATAACTAAGGGGGGAGGATAGTGTTATGTTGTAATAACTAAGGGGGGAGGTAGTGTTATAGGTATGTAATAACTAAGGGGGGAGGATAGTGTTATGTTGTAATAACTAAGGGGGGAGGAATGGTGTTATGTTGTAATAACTAAGGGGGGAGGAAGTATGGTGTTATGTTGTAATAACTAAGGGGGGAGGTAGTGGTTATGTTGTAATAACTAAGGGGGGGAGGTAGTGTTTATGTTGTAATAACTAAGGGGGAGGATAGTGTTATGTTGTAAAACTAAGGGGGGAGGTAGTGTTATGTTTGTATAACTAAGGGGGGAGGGCAATTGGTGTTATGTTGTAATAACTAAGGGGGAGGTAGTGTTATGTTGTAATAACTAAGGGGGGAGTGGTGTTATGTTGTATACTAAGGGGGAGGGTGTGTTATGTTGTAATAACTAAGGGGGGAGGTAGTGTTATGTTGTAATAACTAAGGGGGGAGATAGTGTTATGTTGTAATAACTAAGGGGGAGGGCAATTGGTGTTATGTTGTAATAACTAAGGGGGGAGTGGTTAGTTTTATGGTTTGTAATAACTAAGGGGGGGGGTGGGGGCAAGTGGTGTTTATGTTGTAATAACTAAGGGGGGTAGTGTAACTGGGTGGTGTTATGTTGTAATAACTAAGGGGGGAGTAGTGTTATGTTGTAATAACTAAGGGGGGAGGCAATATGTGTTATGTTGTAATAACTAAGGGGGGAGGTAGTGTTATGTTTGTAATAACTAAGGGGGGAGTAGTGTTATGTTGTATAACTAAGGGGGAGATAGTGTTATGTTGTAATAACTAAGGGGGGAGGGCAATATGGTGTGTATGTTTGTAATAACTAAGGGGGGAGTGTAGTGTTATGTTTTAATAACTAAGGGGGAGTAGTGTTATGTTGTAATAACTAAGGGGGGAGGATAGGTGTTATGTTGTAATAACTAAGGGGGAGGTAGTGTTATGTTGTAATAACTAGGGGGGAGGTAGTGTTATGTTGTATACTAAGGGGGAGGTAGTGTTATGTTGTAATAACTAAGGGGAGGTAGTGTTATGTTGCGATAACTAAGGGGGGAGGTAGTGTTATGTTGTAATAACTAAGGGGGGAGGTAGTGTTATGTTGTGATAACTAAGGGTGAGGTAGTGTTATGTTGTGATAACTAAGGGGGGAGGTAGTGTTTGTAATCAGGTTGTTGTGATAACTAAGGGGGAGGTAGTGTTATGTTGTAATAACTAAGGGGGGAGGTAGTGTTATGTTGCGATAACTAAGGGGGGAGGTAGTGTTATGTTGTAATAACTAAGGGGGGAGGTAGAGTTATGTTGTAATAACTAAGGGGGTGAGGTAGTGTTAAGGGGGAATGGGGATGTCGCTGTGCTGATTGGGTAAATTGACACTGGGTGAAGCTTTGTTACATTGCTAGTCCTAACAGGTATCTCTGCTGTGGTACGGCAGCCGGGTTTAGTTTAATTCATGCTTTGTGTTTGCTGATTCTGATGTTCTTCTTTCCTGCCTCTACCCCCCCCCCCCCCCCCCCCCCCTCCCACCCCTCCTCTTCAGGCGAACCGACCGCCAGCCAAACTCAACCTCCTCACCTGCCAGGTGAAACACAACCCAGAGGAGAAGAAGAGCTTTGACCTCATCTCACGTAGGTTTACTCTGCCTTTTACCCCCTCTTCTTTTCTCTTCTCCCCCTCCCTCTGTGTCTAATAGAAATTCCTCTACAAGTGGACCTTGCTGTGTTCTCAGAGGGTCTGCCATGCACACTGCAGTACCTCAACTTGTGTTCTCAGAGGGCCTGCCATGCACACTGCAGTACCTCAACTTGTGTTCTCAGAGGGTCTGCCATGCACACTGCAGTACCTCAACTTGTGTTCTCAGAGGGCCTGCCCTGCACGCTGCGGTACCCCACCTTGTGGTGTTCTCAGAGGGCCTGCACGCTGCGGTACCTCACCTTGTGGTGTTCTCAGAGGGCCTGCACGCTGCGGTACCTCACCTTGTGGTGTTCTTAGAGGGCCTGCACGCTGCGGTACCTCACCTTGTTGTGTTCTCAGAGGGCCTGCACGCTGCGGTACCTCACCTTGTGGTGTTCTCAGAGGGCCTGCACGCTGCGGTACCTCACCTTGTTGTGTTCTCAGAGGGCCTGCCCTGCACGCTGCGGTACCTCACCTTGTTGTGTTCTTAGAGGGCCTGCACGCTGCGGTACATTACCTTGTTGTGTTCTTAGAGGGCCTGCACGCTGCGGTACCTCACCTTGTTGTGTTCTTAGAGGGCCTGCACGCTGCGGTACCTCACCTTGTTGTGTTCTCAGAGGGCCTGCACGCTGCGGTACCTCACCTTGTTGTGTTCTTAGAGGGCCTGCACGCTGCGGTACATTACCTTGTTGTGTTCTTAGAGGGCCTGCACGCTGCGGTACATTACCTTGTTGTGTTCTTAGAGGGCCTGCACGCTGCGGTACCTCACCTTGTGGTGTTCTTAGAGGGCCTGCACGCTGCGGTACCTCACCTTGTTGTGTTCTCAGAGGGCCTGCACGCTGCGGTACCTCACCTTGTGGTGTTCTCAGAGGGCCTGCACGCTGCGGTACCTCACCTTGTTGTGTTCTCAGAGGGCCTGCCCTGCACGCTGCGGTACCTCACCTTGTTGTGTTCTTAGAGGGCCTGCACGCTGCGGTACCTCACCTTGTTGTGTTCTCAGAGGGCCTGCACGCTGCGGTACCTTACCTTGTTGTGTTCTCAGAGGGCCTGCACGCTGCGGTACATTACCTTGTTGTGTTCTTAGAGGGCCTGCACGCTGCGGTACATTACCTTGTTGTGTTCTTAGAGGGCCTGCACGCTGCGGTACATTACCTTGTTGTGTTCTCAGAGGGCCTGCACGCTGCGGTACCTCACCTTGTTGTGTTCTTAGAGGGCCTGCACGCTGCGGTACCTCACCTTGTGGTGTTCTCAGAGGGCCTGCACGCTGCGGTACCTCACCTTGTTGTGTTCTCAGAGGGCCTGCCCTGCACGCTGCGGTACCTCACCTTGTTGTGTTCTTAGAGGGCCTGCACGCTGCGGTACATTACCTTGTTGTGTTCTTAGAGGGCCTGCACGCTGCGGTACCTCACCTTGTTGTGTTCTTAGAGGGCCTGCACGCTGCGGTACATTACCTTGTTGTGTTCTTAGAGGGCCTGCACGCTGCGGTACCTCACCTTGTGGTGTTCTCAGAGGGCCTGCACGCTGCGGTACCTCACCTTGTTGTGTTCTTAGAGGGCCTGCACGCTGCGGTACCTCACCTTGTGGTGTTCTCAGAGGGCCTGCACGCTGCAGTACCTCACCTGTAAATCTGATAAAGGAAATGCAGAACAAGGAGGGATGCTGTGTTGGAAAGAATGACAGCGCTCGTTATTGAGTAGAGAGAAAACTACTGCAGAGAAACAAGGGCAGGGAGGAGACTCACAGAAAAAGGCTAAGTGGTCCATAGGGCTCTATATGGAAAGGAGTTGTGAATAGTTGAATCGCTGTATGAGTTATATTCAGGGAAGAATCAATACTTTGTGCCTCTCTGAATCTGCAGCCTAATAAGAATTTCATCCTCGTTCATTTGTTCATTGTATCCTCACGTAATCTCATGTAACCACGTAATCTCATGTGACTATGGGGCGGCAGGTAGCTTAGTGGTTAAGAGCGTTGTGCCAGTAACTGAAAGGTCGCTGGTTCTAATCCCAGAGCCGACTAGGTGAAAAATCTGTCGATGTACCCTTGAGCAAGGCACTTAACCCTAATTGCTCATGTAAGTCGCTCTGGATAAGAGCGTCTGCTAAATGACTAAAATGTAAATGTAAATGTAACCAAGGGAGATGGAGCTAAAGTAGTGTAGAGAGAGAGAGAAGTCAGGTTGGAGAAGAATTGGAGAGTACACAATAGGACTTTCACAAGTTTTATTATTTCTGTGTGCAGTGCATTACAATGGGACGTTTGGTAAACTAACCTCTGTCTTGCATAGATTCCACATGACTTCCAATCCCAAACTCTGTGTCCTCGTAAATTGTCCTATTGGTTGCTGTGTTACTTCTAGGTCTTTTACTGGACAGTACTGTATGTAGTTGACAGCCATGAAAGAGTTTCTTGTTTCTTATTTAGCCCTGGTACACACACAGGCTTGTCAGCAGGGTGCTATGATGGGCTCTTAAGGGAATTGCTCTGTGTTCTTACCTTTTCTTGTTTCACTATGTCTCTGACCCAGCCACCACTATCTCTCTCTCTCTCTCTCTCTCTCTCTCTCTCTCTCTCTCTCTCTCTCTCTCTCTCTCTCTCTCTCTCTCTCTCTCTCTCTCTCTCTCTCTCTCTCTCTCTCTCTCTCTCTCTCTCTCTCTCTCTCTCTCTCTTTCTTTCTCTTTCTTTCTTTCTCTTTCTTAGATGACAGAACATATCACTTTCAGACCGAGGATGACCCAGAATGTCAGATGTAAGTGTGTGTTCCTTCCTTTTGTGAAGTGTGTGTCCTGTTATCCCTGATGCAATTTTCCACACAGGTTTCCATCTTGTCAGACCCTGTCCTCACTCCATCTTTCAAAACACAGGTTTCCATCTTGTCGGACCCTGTCCTCACCCCATCTCTCCAAACACAGGTTTCCATCTTGTCGGTCGTGTGGGGTGGGGGGGGATGCACGTGTGTGTCCTGTTTGTCCCCATACCTCTTCTCACACAGTTAACCCACCCTCTCACCCTATGTTGACCCTGTCCTCACCCCATCTTTACACACACACTCTCACAAACACTCTCTCACACTCACACACTCACGCACTCCCCCTCCACCTGTGTGGTGTGTGTTTTCAGCTGGATCTCTGTGCTGCAGAACAGTAAGGAGGAAGCGTTGAATAATGCCTTTAAGGGAGACCAGCACGTTGGGGAGAACAACATCGTCCAGGAGCTGACCAAGGCCATCCTGGGTGAGGTTAAGAGGATGACCGGCAACGACGTCTGCTGCGACTGCAGAGCGCCCAGTGAGTGACCGGGAGTAACACACGTTAATACATGCACACACATACACACATATACACACACATGCATGTGCATTGGACATTGGATATACACACACACACTCACAAACTCAAATAGTTTTAGTGCACAATACCACCTGTGTTTAATTCATCATACATGTTGTGCATTTATAAAGGCTGTAATAAGGAGCCATGAGCTATTATAAATAGTTATAGCAAGTGTTATTTAAAGTGCTAGAGGTGACTTTAATTAAATAATTAATTATACAGGTTATTCACAGACACTGTTACCAAAGTATTCAGGTCAAGTGTATTGAACAACACCATGCAGTCACTTTACACTGACATTGTAGGGAATGAGGAATGCCCATGAGCCAGTTATTTAAGGTTGACTGCAGCCAGTCGTTAACCTGTATCAAAAATAGCTCTCCCCTCAGAGCACATGAAGGTAGTTCCTACCAGGGACAATGTGACCTACTTACCTGTTACCTCTCTCTCTCTCTCTTCCTCTCCATCTCCCTCCCCCGCTCTGACTCTCTCTCCCTCTCCGTCCCTCTCCCCCTCTCCGTCCCTCTCCCCCTCTCTCTCTCGCTCTCTCTCTCCTTGTCTCACTCCCCCTTCCTCCCAGATCCCACGTGGCTCTCCACTAACCTGGGCATCCTGACGTGTATAGAGTGTTCTGGGATCCACAGGGAGCTGGGAGTCCACTACTCCAGGATCCAGTCCCTCACACTGGACGTCCTCAGCACCTCCGAACTCTTGGTAAGAAGAATTAACAGTTATAGCATGATAGCATCACCATTTTCACATTTTCAAGTCTCGTAGTGCTTTGCTCTGCATTGTCTGGTGGTAACTCATGCTATTCCACCGCTAATGGCTAGTAGCACCCATCTGGCTGATGCACTGCAGCCATTTTGAGCCAGATCCCTCTCCACAAATCAGCTATTTGTCCAGTTTCACATTATGGCAATGAAGTGCTGTGACACTGGGAGGTTAGGTCCAGTCGTGTTGGAAAGTTCAAATCATTTACACACAGTTGACTCATAAAGTGCTACCAAAACACATCCGCTTAGGTTAGTTAGCAAAACCTCCTATTGGAAAACAACAGCTAGCCCAGCACACATTAGCTAATGTGAAAGTTCTCTCACAGTGCAGCTGATTTACTGCTGGTAGGAGAGCACGAAGGATATCAACACCCTTGGCCTGATTCTACTGAACTCTCCTTCCTCTGCTGCGCTCCACTGGGATAGATAGACCTTACAGGAGTCTTGAAGCTGCTTCCACTTTGCATATTTCACATTTTATCTGGCTTTCTAATATCAATTTGGTGCAATTTATTGCCAATGAATCATTTGGGGCTAAAATGTTTTTGTCGCTAATTCAAGATGATTGCCCTCGGTAAGACGCCAGTGTTTCACATTATTGGGCCACAAGGAGATGGGTGGAACGCATGCAGTGTTTCCCCTCATACACACACACGCTTGCACACGCACACACACGCACTCCATTGATTTAAGCATTTGTTGAAGCGGCAGAGCAGAAGAAATGGAGCTTGGGATAAATATATACAGTAAGAACTGTATAACCCTCCAATAGGAGGCTAATTTGCACTTTTATGACCTCTGTCGCTCTGGTAAGCTCTAAACTGTGTGTGTGTGTGTTTGTGTGTGTGTGTGTTTTACCATGCAGCTGGCCAAGAACGTGGGGAATGCAGGCTTTAATGAGATCATGGAGGCTTGTCTATCTGCGGAGGACGTGGTCAAACCCAACCCTGCCAGTGACATGTAAGTTCCCTCTCTCTGTTTTTCTCCATCCCTCTAGTTCTCAACGTTTTTTCTCTGGCTCTTTCCTCACACACATACACTCTATCCTCTCCTTCTCTCATCAGTCTTTTTCTGTCTGTATCCCTCTCTTCCTCTTTCTCCCTCTCTCTCTCTCCATCTCACCTTCCCAATCCCACCACCTCTCCATCTTTCTCTGTAATCCCTCTTCTGGCTGGTGAGAGGTTTGAGCCCCCAGCCCACTCCTTAGGATGCCATTACAATAGCCCTCCCAATAGCCCTCCCAGACCCTCCCAGTGAAAGTGACTGTAGGAGCAGACTTGACCTTACAGTGACCTATTGGAAACATGTCACCACAGAGACACTCATAACCATTTATTATGGATGGAGCAATCAGGAAGGGATCCCTAACTGAAAACATTTTCATTCAATAAGCCTTAGAAAATATGCATTCTGTTGTTGTGTACACAGCTTAGTGTATGTACAACTCAAGTAAAATTGAGCGCCCACATAAGAAACGTAATTTATCCCTCTTTAGATTAATTAAGTTCTAACACTCAAATGTGTACACTTAGTATAATGTCTTTCTCCCTCTGGTACAGGCAAGTCCGTAAGGACTTCATCACAGCCAAGTACACAGAGAAGCGTTTCGCCAGAAGGAAGTGTCCAGACGGGGCATCCAAGCTGCACACGCTCTGTGACGCAGTCAAAGCCCGGGACATCTTCTCTCTGATCCAGGTGTATGCTGAGGGAGTGGACCTGATGGAGCCCATCCCCCTGGCCAACGGACACGTGAGTCTACATGTCCTTCATAACACACCAATACCCCTGTCACACTAGCGTGCTGGCGCGGATGTTTTCTTTTCGGACATTGTCCTTTCCAGGCCATCACAGTATGTCTCGGCTCGGCAGTGTGACTCAATCCCAACTGTAAACCAACCAATTGTTTTGCTTGGATAGGGAGGGGTGGTTTTGTGCATTAACATTTTATCTGTCCAGGTGCTCTCAACTATCACAGCTGTAGTGGAATTCAAATGGCGGTATTTTGGTTAGTTCTCTTCTATGGGCTGTGAAAAACGACTTCTCCTGGCAGTGTAAATGCGTTGTATAATAGATTAATGATCACTCAGTACAAACATCTGGCTCACATTCAGGGTTACTACTGCTACTACTGCCAATAGCAAAGCAGACTATCAAAAGTATATGTGCACATTTTGATCAAAGTCCCAGTGGTTCTGTGATGTGTCAGCTCCTCCATTTTGGCTCTGGTGCCTGTTGTGTCCCTGAGGTCTCAACACGGCCATTTTGGATCTTGTGTGTGTGGTTGCAGGAACAAGGTGAAACGGCCCTTCACCTAGCGGTCAGACTAGTGGACAGGACCTCGCTCCATATCGTCGACTTCCTCACTCAAAACAGGTAAGGGAATAAAAGGAAACGTCAATGAGCGATTTGTAGAAACATGACTTGTCATTTGGCCATACATAACCATGTCATGACAAGTATGAGATTCATAACAGCTAATGTTAGCTTATTTTATTCACTTTTATTAATTCAGGGGAGCCCAATTGAGACCAGAGTCTCGTTTTCAATGATGCCCTGAGGACATAAAATATAAAATAGATAGAATAACAAGTACATTACATTAGAAAATCACAAACATCACAGCCATCATAAACACGTTTTTTAATTCATTCATTTAAAGCTATTGTACACCTCGGTGAACTCCTTTGTCATCAGGGTTTTAAACTGCCCTAGTGGCACCAGGGAATCCAAATGTAAGGAATCCTGAGTGAATCGTGAATAATGATGTGTGAGAAAGTTACAGACGCACAAATATTATACCCCCAAGACATGCTAACCTCTCACCATTATAATAACAGGGGAGGTTAGCATTTTTGGGGGGGTATGATATTTGTGCGTCTAACTTTCTCACTCATCATTATTCACGATTTGTTTAGGACTGTCCGTAATCATGGTAGCATCCACATGAATGTAGAAGTGTTTAGAAAGTTTTAAGTTGCTCTTTACGAATATGGCCAACTCTGTCAGATCTATATACATTATAACCTGCCAGAGACGTATCAGAATTTGGCGTAGACTTCTGTAAACATGATTCAGTAATAACCAGAATGTCCATGTTGGTTTGAGAAGCCAGAGTTACAATAAAATCCATTTTCGAAATCAAAATTCTGGCATTTATATGAATCCGTCCAAGGCCTCAGCTGCAGTATTTCAGATCAGATGGCGTGTCCAAAATAACCATGCTATGTTCATTAGCTAATCCTCTGTTTAAAGATAGGGTTGACTTGAATTGGTATAGACACAAGATTTCCCAGGACTGTAGCATTTAGGCCTATGCCTCGAACGAGGACGTGACTTAAAACATGAGTCAATGAGGGTTACCTGGTGCGGGCCAGGACTGAAATCCCATCACTTTTGTTTAGTGCATGTGCAATGTTAGAACTCAGCATTCTAGCTCCTCTTCTGTTCAGCTGCTAGCCCTTTTTAAGAACTGAGGTCGCTCCCAAAACTAATCGAAGTTGTCGATAAAATCCAATGCCTTTTCAGGGTAGAGTTTCGATTTCATCCAAGAGTCCAGTGCAAATAGCTGGGAGAAGTGATCAAATCCACGACCGTATATTGGGATAGGGCCAGAAAGGACAATCTGCTTGCCAGTAGCCATTAGCCTTGCCCTCAGGTATTCGAAGTCCCGTCTCAACTCCCCTGATAATTGACACAAAACTAAAACAATGAATTAAGCCCTTTCTACTGGTTACTTCTCACTGGTTGCCTCCTCCGTCTCCTCTCCCCATAGTGTGAACCTGGACAAGCAGACAGCCAAAGGCAGTACGGCCCTACACTACTGCTGCCTGACTGACAACATGGAGTGTCTCAAACTGCTACTGCGGGGCAAGGCCTCCATTGACATAGGTAAGAGACCATCACATCAGTCCTCTTTTGAGAAAGACTGGTTTGGAAACAGCATTGACACAAAATGTTAGTGAAGACTCATTTTGTTAGTGAGTCTCCTGCAGTGTTCAAATGTAATTTGTTTTTTGTTGTACTTAAAATGATCAATTATTTAATCGTACATTTTTGAAAACAGATCGTTATTTGCAGCCTGCCGTGCCTTTACTTTAGCTAAATACTGTAGCTAACGTTAGCTACAGTTGAAGTCGGAAGTTTACATACATCTTAGCCAAATACATTTAAACTCAATTTTTCACAATTCCTGACATTTAATCCTAGTAAAATTCCCTGTCTTAGGTCAGTTAGGATCACCACTTTATTTTAAGAATGTGAAATGTCAGAATAATAGTAGAGAGAATGATTTATTTCAGCTTTTATTTATTTCATCACATTCCCAGTGGGTAAGAAGTTTACATACACTCAATTAGTATTTGGTAGCATTGCCTTTAAATTGTTTAACTTGGGTCAAACATTTTGGGTAGCCTTCCAAAAGCTTCCCACAATAAATTGGGTGAATTTTGACCCATTCCTCTTGACAGAGCTGGTGTAACTGAGTCAGTTTTGTAGGTCTCCTTGCTCGCACACGCTCTTTCAGTTCTGCCCACAAATGTTCTATAGGATTGAGGTCAGGGCTTTGTGATGGCCACTCCAATACCTTGACTTTGTTGTCCTTAAGCCATTTTGCCACAACTTTGGAAGTATGCTTGGGGTCATTGTCCATTTGGAAGATCCATTGTGACCTGTACACTCTTGTTGGCTGGCCCTCACTACATATTTGTCGCCAAACCCACTGGCTCCAGGTCATCTATAAATCACTGCTAGGCAAATCCCCCTTAGCTCACTGGTCACCATAGCAACACCCACCCGTAGTCTGCGCTCCAGCAGGTATATCTCACTGGTCATCCCCAAAGCCAACACCTCCTTTGGCCGCCATTCCTTCCAGTTCTCTGCTGCCAATGACTGGAATGAACTGCAAAAATCTCTGAAGCTGGAGACTCTTATCTCCCTCACTAAATTTAAGTGTCAGTTGTCAGAGCAGCTTACCGATCACTGCACCTGTACACAGCCATTCTGAAATTAGCCCACCCAACTACCTCATCCCCATATTGTTATTTATTTTGCTAATTTGCACCCCAGTATCTCTATTTGCACATCATCTTTTGCACATCAATCATTCCAGTGTTAATACGAAATTATAACTATTTTGCACTATGGCCTATTTATTGCCTTACCTCCATAACTTACTACATTCGCACACACTGTATATATATTTTCTGTTTGTATTTTTGACTTTATGTTTTGTTTACCCCATATGTAACTCTGTGTTGTTGTTTTTATCGCACTGCTTTGCTTTATCTTGGCCAGGTTGCAGTTGTAAATGAGAACTTGTTCTCAACTGGCTTACCTGGTTAAATAAAGGTGAAATAAAATTTTAAAAATAAAATAAAAAGCTTTAACTTCCTGATTGATGTCTTGAGATGTTGCTTCAATATATCCACATAATTTTCCTTCCTCATGCCATCTATTTTGTGAAGTGCACCAGTGCCTCCTGCAGCAAAGCACCCCTACAGCATGATGTTGCCACCCCGTGCTTCACGGTTGGGATGGTGTTCTTCGGCTTGCAAGCGCCCCCCTTTTTCCTCCAATCATAACGATGGTCATTATGGCCAAACAGTTCTATTTTTGTTTCATCAGACCAGAGGACATTTTTCCAATAAAAGTACGATCTTTGTCCCCATGTGTAGTTGCAAACCGTAGTCTGGCTTTTTTATGGCGGTTTTGGAGCAGTGGCTTCTTCCTTGCTGAGCGGCCTTTCAGGATATGTCGATATAGGACTTGTTTTACTGTGGATATAGATACTTTTGTACCTGTTTCCTCCAGCATCTTCACAAGGTCCTTTGCTGTTGTTCTGGGATTGATTTGCACATTTCGCACCAAAGTACGTTCATTTCTAGGAGACAGAACGCGTCTCCTTCCTGAGCGGTATGACGGCTGCGTGGTCCCATGGTGTTTATACTTGCGTACTATTGTTTGTACAGATGAACGTGGTACCTTCAGGCGTTTGGAAATTGCTCCCAAGGATGAACCAGACGTGTGGAGGTCTACAATTATTTTCTGAGTTCTTGGCTGATTTCTTTTGATTTTCCCATGATGTCAAGCAAAGAGGCACTGAGTTTGAAGGTAGGCCTTGAAATACATCCACAGGTACACCTCCAATTGACTCAAATGATGTCAATTAGCCTATCAGAAGCTTCTAAAGCCATGACATAATTTTCTGGAATTCTCCAAGCTGTTTAAAGGCACAGTCAACTTAGTGTATGTAAACTTCTGACCCACCGGAATTGTGATAGTGAATTATAAGTGAAATAATCTGTCTGTAAACAATTGTTGGAAAAATTATTTGTGTCATGCACAAAGTAGATGTCCTAACCAACTTGCCAAAACTATAGTTTGTTAACAAGAAATTTGTGGAGTGGTTGAAAAACAAGTTTTAATGACTCCAACCTACGTGTATGTAAACTTCCGACTTCAACTGTACGTGCTTTAGTAGGACTTGAAGTTAGCTGGATAGCCGATAAGCTTGCTTCTGTTGAGCGACATCTTTGTATTTAACCTAGCTAGCCAGTTATATATGCGAAGCCGTAGCAAAGTAGTACGCTACGGCCGTGGCATACTGCATACTTTTTACTAAACACTACGTCATAAATCGTATGCGAAAATGAGTACATACTATGCGGTTTAAGTATGTAGTACGCTAGTATGGGTATTCGGAAACGGCCATGGTCTAATATACACATGTATACAGTGCCTTCAGAAAGTATTCATACCCCTTGACTTATTCCACATTTGTTGTGTTACAGCCTGAATTCAAATTTGATTAAATAGATTTTTGTATCTCCCATATACACACAATACCCCATAATGACAGAGTGAAAACATGTTTAATTTTTTATTGTTTTATTTATAGAAAATGAAATACAGAAATATCAAATGTACATAAGTATTCACAACCCTGAGTCAATACATGTTAGAATCATCTTTGGCAGCGATGACAGCTGTGAGTCTTTCTGGGTAAGTCTCTAAGAGCTTTGCACACCTGGATTGTACAATATTTGCAATATCAAGCTCTGTCAAATTGGTTGTTGATCATTGCTAGACAGCCATTTTCAAGTCTTCCTATAGATTTTCAAGCCTATTTAACTAAAAACTGTAACTAGGCCACTCGGGATCATTCAATGCCGACTTGGTAATCAACTCCAGTGTATATTTGGCCTTGTGTTTTAGGTCAATGTCCTGCTGAAAGGTGAATTTGTCTCCCAGTGTCTGTTGGAAAGCAGATTGAAACAGGTTTTCCTTTAGGATTTTGCCTGTGCTTAGCTCTATTCTGTTTTTTTTTATCCTCAAAAAAGTCCCTAGTCCTTGCCGATGACAAGCATACCCATAACATGATGCAGCCACCACCATGCTTGAAAATATGAAGTGATACTCAGTGATGTGTTGTGCTGTATTTTCCCCAAACATAACGCTTTGTATTCTGGACATAAAGTTCATTTCTTTGCCACATTTCTTTCAGTTTTACTTTAGTACATTATTGCAAACGGGATGCATGTTTTTGAATATTTTTATTCTGTACAGGCTTTCTTCTCTTCACTCTGTCGTTTAGGTTAGTATTGTGGAGTAACTACAATGTTGTTGATCCATCCTCAGTTTTCTCCCATCACAGCCACTAAACTCAGTAACTGTTTTAAAGGGACCTTCCAGATTGTGGGGTACAGAGATGAGGTAGTCATTTTTACTCCTGAACTTATTTAGGCTTGCCATAACAAAGGGGTTGAATACTTATTGACTCAAGACATTTTTAGCTTTTAATTTATAATTAATTTGTAAAGAATTCTAAAAACATAATTCCACTTTGGCATTATGGGGTATTGTGTGTAGGCCAGTGACACAACATCTCAATTTAATCCATTTTAAATTCAGGCTGTATGATCAATGAATAGATCAAAATGATGTCTTCCTCTAGCCACTGAGTCTGGGGAGACGCCGCTGGACATCGCTAAGAGACTGAAGCACCTGCAGTGTGAGGAGCTGGTGAGTTCTGTGTGTGTGTGTGTGTGTGTATATACGTGTGTGTGTGATTTCTTTAGCAAGATAGACACTGACTCCTCCTATCTTTTAGCTTTGTATGAGCCATTAATGTGTGTGTGTGTGTGTGTGTTTGTGTTTGTTTGTGTGTGTGTGTGTGTGTGTAGCTGAACATGGCGCTGGCGGGGAAGTTCAACGCCCATGTGCACGTAGAGTACGAGTGGCGTCTGCACCATGACGACATGGACGAGAGTGATGAGGACATGGATGAGAAGGTGAGGGTGAGGACCCTCTTCAGATTATTCACACCTTTACATACACCCACCATGAACTCACCACACACACACACACACACACACACACACACACACACACACAAGCACGTAGTACATCCAGTACAGAGCATTCAGAAAGTATTCAGACCCCTTGACTTTTTCCACATTTTGTTACATTACAGCCTTATTCTAAAATGGATTAAATAAAAACTCCTCATCAATCTACACACAATACCCCATAATGACAAAGCGAAAAAAGGCTTTTAGACATTTTTGCTAATATATAAAATGTACATAAGTATTCAGACCCTTTGCTATGAGACTCGAAATTGAGTTCAGGTGCATCCTGTTTCCATTGATCATCCTTGAGATGTTTCTGAAACTTCATTGGAGTCCACCTGTGGTAAATTCAATTGATTGGACATGATTTGAAAAGCCACCTGTCTATATAAGGTCCCACAGTTGTCAGAGCAAAAACCAAGCCATGAGGTCGAAGGAGTTGTCCGTAGAGCTCAGAGACTTGTGGGACCTTATATAGACAGTTGAGGCACAGATCTGGGGAAAGGTACCCAAAAATGTCTGCAGCATTGAAGGTCCCCAAGAACATTCTTAAATGGAAGAAGTTTGGAACCACCAAGACTCTTCCTAGAGCTGGCCGCCCGGCCAAACTGAGCAATCGGGGGAGAAGGGCCTTGGTCAGGAAGGTGACCAAGAACCCGATAGTCACTCTGATAGAGCTCTAGAGTTCCTCTGTGGAGATGGGAGAACCTTCCAGAAGGACAACCATCTCTGCAGCACTCCACCAATCAGGCCTTTATGGTAGAGTGGCCAGACGGAAGCCACTCCTCAGTAAAATGCACATGACAGCCCGCTTGGAGTTTGCCAAAAGGCACCTAAAGACTCTCAGACCATGAGAAACAAGATTCTCTGGTCTGATGAAACCAAGATTGAACTCTTTAGCCTGAATGCCAAGCGTCACGTCTGGAGGAAACCTGGCACCATCCTTACGGTGAAGCATGGTGGTGGTAGAATCATGCTATGGGGATGTTTTTCAGCGGCAGGGACTGGGAGACTAGTCAGGATCGAGGCAAAGATGAACGGAGCAGAGAGATCCTTGATGAAAACCTGCTCCAGAGTGCTCAGGACCTCAGACTGGGGCGAAGGTTCAACTTCCAACAGGACAACGACCCTAAGCACACAGCTAAGACAACGCAGGAGTTGCTTCGGGACAAGTCTCTGAATGTCCTTGAGTGGCCCAGCCAGAGCCCGGACTTGAACCCTGTCTGTGCAGCAATGCTCCCCATCCAACCTGACAGAGCTTGAGAGGATCTGCAGAGAAGAATGGGAGAAACTCCCCAAATACAGGTGTCCCAAGCTTATAGCGTCATACCCAAGAATACTCTAGGCTGTAATCGCTGCCAAAGGTGCTTCAAGAAAGTACTGAGTAAAGGGTCTGAATACTTATATAAATGTAATATTTCATTTGTATTTATTTATATAAATGTGGAAAAAAAATTACAACTGTTTTTGCTTTGTCATTATGGGGTATTGTTTGTAGATTGATGGGGGGAAAAAACAATTTAATCAATTTTAGAGTAAGGCTGTAACCTAACAAAATGTGGAAAAAGTCAAGGGGTCTGAATGCTTTCTGAAAGCACTGTATATACACATACATAACACACACACAGACCATGATGACCTTTCTATAACCTTTGACCCCTGACCTCTCATTGCACCTTCAGCCCAGCCCCCACCGGAGAGAGGAGCGCCCTGTCAGCTGCTACACCCCTGGCTCCAACGCCCACTTCCAGCCCAGCCCGGCACGGGACAAGCAGCGTGGTGGGTACATGCCCAACCTAGTCACCAACGAGACCTATGGTGCCATCCTCAACGCCAGCCCCCCTGCGCCAGGGGGGCCCGCCACCATCTCTGCACCCCCTCTGCCCCCACGAAACATAGGTACTTTATTTTTCCTTTTTAAAATGTTATAGCAAGGTGGATGCTGCATACAGTTCATATCTTATGGATAGACTACGGAAAAAAATTACACAAGAGTTCTGGATTAACCAAGATTAGCATACAGTAGATGTTTGTCTGTATAAAGACATATTTCTTTGGCAAAACTTTCAGAATTCTATGAACCGGTTTAGTTTGTTCAGTGAATCCGTGTAAATGCTATTTGAGCAATTATTTAGATTCAAAATGTTTAAAAAGTGCTCCTGATTGATGTTGATAAACGTGATCCATATCAAATGACCCGTCAAGCCCTTTTCAACCCATATTCACCTCTCATCCTCACCATTTTTGGAGAATTATATTTATAATACATGCCCAATGGGTTCAGTTCAAATACAGGGAAACCTCATTTGGCCACATATCTGTCAACTGCTGTAGATGCCTTCTCTAATTAATGCATTGCCCCATGGTGACTTGTGTAGCGCTCTGACCCATTTGAAGGGCAGAGAGGACTCTGGGTAGGGAGCAGGGACCATCACCTTGGTGGCAGCTGGGTGAGCTAGTGAGCTACTTTTCGGGAAAGTTCTCAAATAGCCCATGATGAGAGGCATACTGAAAATGTCCCATCCAATCACTGGAAAGCAATTTGAACTCTAGTTCATGCTCATTGAAAACGCTAGAAAACATTCCACCTTGCTAAACAATTTGTTTAAATTCAACTTACTTACTTTACAATCAAAGCACATGTCGTCTTTACTTACTTACTTAGGCCCATTACCACATGAGGAGCATAGGCCCTCAGCAACTCCTCTCCAATGAACTTGACTTTGGGCAGTCTTTTCAATTTAATTCCAGGACTAGCCAGTCTTTCTGTGTTCTGCTTCGGTGTCACGCCTCAATCAATCAATCAATGTAATGTATTCTATGAAGCCCTTTTTACATCAGCAGTTGTCACAAAATGCTTTACATACACTCAGTGGCCAGTTTATTTGGTACCGGGTCAGACCCCCCTTTGCCTCCAGAACAGCCTGAATTCTTCGGGGCATGAAAACGTTGCTCAATTTATATTAAGGGACCTAACGTGTGCCAGGAAAACATTCCCCACACCATTACACCACCACCACCAGCCTGTACTGTTGACACCAGGCAGGATTGGGCCATGGACTCATGCTGCTTACGCCAAATCCTGACTCTGGCATCAACATTACATTTTAGTCATTTAGCAGACGCTCTTATCCATAGCGACTTACAGTTAGTGAATGCATAAATTTTTCATACTGACCCCCCGTGGGAATCGAACCCACAACCCTGGCGTTGCAAGCGCCATGCTCTACCAACTGAGCTACAGGAGGTCTTGGAAAACGGGTTGTTGTCCTGTTGGACAACGGGACGCAACAGGAAACGGGATTCGTCGGGCAAGGTGATGTTTTTCCACTCCTAAACTGTCTACTGGAGCCGCTTCTCCTTGTTTTTAGGTGATGGGAGTGGAACCCGGTGTGGTAATCTGCTGCAATAGCCCATCCGTAACAAGGAACGACAAGTTGTGCGTTCCGTGATGCTGCTCACACCACTGTTGTACTATGCCGTTATCTGCCTGTTTGTGGCCCGTCTGTTTTTGTTTGTCGCACCATTCTCTGGAGACCCTAGACACTGTTGTACGTGAAACGCCCAGGAGGCCGGAAGTTTCTGAGATACTGGAACCGACGCACCTGGTATCGACGTTCATACCACACTCAAAGTTGCTTAGGCCACTCGTTTTGCCCATTCTAATATTCAATCGAACAGTAGTTGAATGCCTCAATGCCTGTCTACCTGCTTTATATAGCAAGCCACGGCCACGTGACTCACTGTCTGTAGGAGCGAACCATTTTGGTGAACGGGGTGGTTTACCTAATAAACTGTCCACTGAGTGTATACCCAGCCTAAAACCCAGAAGAGCAAGCAATGCACGTCTTCAGGAACCAAAGCGTAGCTTTTCCCCTCCTCTCTCCTCCCTCCTCTCTCCTCTCTCCTCCCTCCTCCAGTCCAGATGTCAGGTCTGTGTGGGATGGTCCAGTCATCAGGGTCCTCTGGGTGGAAGCCTGGCTCTATAGACCTGGGGGGCCGACAGAGGTCCTCCTCAGACCCCCCCAACATGCACCTCCCGGTACCCCCCATGCGGTTCACCTCAACCACTGGTAGGTACCCCTCACCTCCAGGTCTCATTGTCTGAACACATCATGGTTAAAGGGATAGTTCACCAAAATTAACAAATTGTATATAGGTTACCCTGTAAGCAGTCTATAGACAAGGTATGACAGCAATCCATGCTTTAGTTTCAAATGCAAACTTTTTGCGCTTCATGTCCAAATACCCCAAAAGTTCAAGTATTGTGGTGACAGCATCATGTTATCAGTATGCTTGTCACCAGCAGAGACTGGGGAGTTTATCAGGATCAAAAGAAATATGAAAGGAGCAAAGCCCTGGTAAAAAGTAAGAGGAGAAATCCGCCGTAGTCTTCTGAAAGCCGTGGGATAGTTTTATGCCAAAGACGCACCAGAATGGCTTTCCAAGTGTTCCTGAATGGTCCAGTCTCAGTCCTGAAATCTGCTTGTAAATCTTAAACATGGTTTGGATATTGCTGTAAATTTAAAGAAGAGAAAGAGATGGGTAACTTCTCTCTCTGTCCCCCCAGGTCTTGCTCCTCCCCCCGTGGCCAAGACAGTGAGTGTGATGGACGCTATGAACCAGCAGTCTAAACCAGGGACCGGACAGGGCCACAACAGAGCCCCACCACCCAAGTCTCCATCTGGGTGAGCATACACACACACACATACACACTGCCTGAGGCAACATGTTTTGCTTCGATGAACACAATGCAAGTTTACTTTTGGAGAAAAAAAACCTATAGGGTTTCTGGTTTACCATTTCATTAACTTACAAGCTGAGCTCCTAAAAGACAGAGCTCCTCATCCACATGGCTCTACTCAGTCTCCTATAGGTCTGAGTTGTGTGACTGTCAAAGGGAAATGTACTGTCAAAGGGAAATGCACTGTCAAAGGGAAATGCACTGTCAAAGGGAAATGTACTGTCAAAGGGAAATGCACTGTCAAAGGGAAATGCACTGTCAAAGGGAAATGCACTGTGGGGTAAATGTATGTGTTAATTTAAGCACATCATAAACAGCAGCTGACTGCTGTTTGTGGTTTTCAGCAACGCCAAAAGCTTCAGCAAAGGACCGACTCGAACGGGGTCCATTGAAAGACCAGGTGGGTGTAAAAAAAAAAATATATACTGTGTCTGTACATAATCTGCAAAGCAAGTAACATAGTTGAGATTACAATGCTGTCATTTCCTCTTCCTCTTTCAGCTAAGGAAGTGCCGGGATGCCCCCAGAACTCGATGGGTCAATCGCTGCCTCCTGCCCCCATGCCTAGGAAGACCTATCCGGTGAGTTCCTTCCTCCTACCTACCGTTGACCTTATGGTTGTTTGTCCTGTTGTTGATTGTGATTGGACAGTGTTTTTGACTTCTGTATCTGATATTATGTTTCAGTTTGTCTGATTGTCCCTGTCGCTCTGTCCATTTTAATTTTAATTTTATTTAAAGTTTATTTAACTAGGCAAGTCAGTTAAGAACAAATTCTTATTTACAATGACGGCCTACCCCGGCCAAACCTGGACGATGCTGGGCCAATTGTGCACTGCCCTATGGGACTCCCAATCACGACCGGATTGTGATACAGCCTGGAATCTAACCAGGGTCTGTAGTGACGCCTCTAGCACTGAGATGCAGTGCCTTAGACCGCTGCGCCACTCGGGAGGCCTATCATCGTCTTTAAGTGTTTTCTCTGTGGTTTCCATCCTATGCCCACCACTACTAAGAGGGAGGGAAACGTTGAAGTGTGTACTTGTTCCTGAAACCTCTCATATCTCTCAGTCCCTAGCTCAGTGCTACTATTCTGTGAAATACAACTCACCATGTAAACTATTGACAGATCAGGGATAGCCTTTGGCGAAAATACGTAATGCACCACTCCAGCCTCCTAGTCTGCGGTCAACAGCTACCCTCCTTACCCAGTCAGACGCTTACTATGTCCTGTGTCAGTGGTTCGCTATGCAACCCTCCAGCAGTCACTGTGGAAGTGGGGGTCAAACATACCAAAGAAGTGACAGATACAGGAGGTCCTCCTGTTGAAAGACTGCATCTGTCTGCAGAACACGCTGTATACTTGCCTGTCTGCATATAATTAGAATAATTAGAATGACTAGAATGGGAAAAGCCCCCCAGACCACAGCAATTTGACATCATGGTTACATTCAATGTGGCCACCGGCCCACCTGTCACGGAAGGTTGACTTGAACGTTCGTTCTAGTAATGATATTTCTATGCCTGTCTGTCTGTCTCTCATCATATTGAACCTGTTTGTTTCAGAAGCATAGGCCCAAGCGGGTAAAGGCCATCTATAACTGTATGGCAGACAACCCAGACGAGCTGACCTTCTCAGAGGGGGAGGTGATTGTGGTGGATGGGGAGGAGGACCAGGAGTGGTGGGTGAGTGTATGTCTGTCTGTGTGTGTGTGTGAATCACCTCTAAATCAGGCTGCTGGACACGCTCACTTTCTGAAATTGTGTGTGTAGTAACTGGGTCGGCATGGCTACTGCATATGAATTTATGTGTAGGGATACTGAGAGTGGAGAAGTGACTGTGAGTTTGTCGTCATTCACATGCCGTAAGAGCTTCCGGCCCAGTTATGGTCTAAATCAGGCCCATTACAAACTCCAAGATCGTCCAATGAGCATGTGTCAGAAACCATGGTGGCCCCAGCAGCACAAGCCATGACCTCATTCTGCCTCTCCCTCTCCCTCTCCCTCTCCCTCTGTCTCTGTCTCTGTCTCTCTCTCTCTCTCTCTCCCCTGCCTTCCTTCCTCTGAGAAGTCTGTTGTCTGAATACAGGCCAGCTGCAACTTGTTTTTCCCAAAGCAACCTCTGCAAACATGACCATATTTAGTCACTTATTCTATATGGGACTCTGTGTTATAGGGGCCTTTACAAATCTCTCTGTTTTCTGATTTAAATGTCATTTTGTTAATGTCCACTCCTGAATTGAAAACAACTGAAGCAGAATATATACTGAACAAAAATATAAACTCAACATGCAACAATTTCAAAGATTTTACTGAGTTACAGTTCATATAAGGAAATCAAGTCAATTGAAATAAATAAATTAGGCCCTAATCTGTGGATTTCACATGACTGGGCAGGGGCGCAGCCATGGGTGGGCCTGGGAGGGCATAGGCCCACCCACTGGGGAGCCAGGCCCAGCCAATCAGAATGAGTTTTTCCCCACAAAAGGGCTTTATTACAGACAGAAATGCGCCTCAGCACCCCCTCAGACGATCCCGCAGGTGAAGCCGGATGTGGAGGTCCTGGGCTGGCGTGGTTACACGTGGTCTGCGGTTGTGAGGCCGGTTGGATGTACCTCCAAATTCTCCAAAACAACGTTAAAGGCGGCTTATGGTAGAGAAATTAACATTCAAACCTCTGGCAACAGATCTGGTGGACATTCCTGCAGTCAGCATGCCAATTTCACGGTCCCTCAAAACTTGAGACATCTGTGTTGTTGTGTGACAAAACTGCAAATTTTAGAGTGGCCTTTTATTGTCCCCAGCACAAGGTGCACCTGTGTAATGATCATGCTGTTTAATCAGCTTCTTGATATGCCATACCTGTCAGGTGGATGGATTATCTTGGCAAAGGAGAAATGCTCACTAACAGGGATGTAAAAAAATCTGTGCAAAAAAATTAGAGAAATAAGCTTTTTGTGTGTATGGAAAATGTCTGTGATCTTTTATTTCAGCTCATGAAACATGGGACCAACACTTTCCATGTTGCGTTTATATTTTTGTTCAGTATAGAAAGTGGTAGAAGAAGTCCACAGAGGTGAATGTCTGTGATGTTTGTGTTGGAAGTACATTGGGCTCTTGGCCGGGAAATCCTGCAGTTAAAAACACTGTAGTTATGCTGCATCTCTCATGATCTATATGCAAACTAGTGAGTGTTTACTAACAAAAAAGTGTGTGTGTGCATGTGTTTTTCCCCTGTTATCAGTGTGTGACTTTGTGCATCTCTCCTGTTCTCTCCCAGCTGGGCCACATCGAAGGAGAACCAATGAGGAGGGGGGCTTTCCCCGTCACGTTCATACACTTCATCATGGACTGAAAGTCAAAGGTTAACACAGGCACTGATTTGTGGGACGAAATCATCATGTTCATCATCATCATCATCATCAAGTTTGTGCCTGCGCTGACACTAAAGAAGAATCAAGTGTCGCTGCCCAATGCTTTGGCTGGACAGTCTGTGGGTTGCCATGACAACATACCCACCATTCACTCCAGGAATGTCACGTGACGTCATATCACTGCTCTTTAGACCAAGCCCGCAAAGGCTCATGGGGAAACTGTGTTTAGACTTCTGACACAATCGGACATTTAAAAACAATGATTGTAGTGAGTGATCACGACATTAAGAGGATTATTGACAAAATGAAGGTTCTGTTCATAAGTTTCACTCGGTTTTCCTCTGTGTGAATTGTACAGAAAGTTATTTTAAAACAACTGACAGTAATGTGTATCTTTAGGATTTCTTTCACTTATCGTTAATGTGAATATAGTCGAGATGCTTACATTCCACCTCCTTGCATGGTTAAAGGGTGAACCATTTTTTTAAGCATAATTGCTTGGTAGTCAAAGACATGTAAAATTTATAGGACTCCCAATGTGGGAGGGAAACTTAATTCAAAATGGTGCTAACCCAGGAATATGCTAGGAGCCCTCACCAAGGGGTGATCCACTGTTCACATCTCCAGACAGTCATAACATGGTAAGAACAGGGGGTTCATGTGGGACATGGTAAGAACAGGGGGTTCCTGTGGGACAACCTGTAACTTGGTAACAACAGGGTTTGATGTGGGACAGTCTGTAACATGGTAACAACAGGGGGTTGATGTGGGACAACCTGTAACATGGTAACAACAGGGGGTTGATGTGGGACAACCTGTAACATGGTAACAACAGGGGGTTGCTGTGGGACAACCTGTAACATGGTAACAACAGGGGGTTGATGTGGGACAACCTGTAACATGGTAACAACAGGGTTTGATGTGGGACAGTCTGTAACATGGTAACAACAGGGGGTTGATGTGGGACAGTCTGTAACATGGTAACAACAGGGGTTTGATGTGGGACAACCTGTAACTTGGTAACAACAGGGTTTGATGTGGGACAACCTGTAACTTGGTAACAACAGGGGGTTGATGTGGGACAACCTGTAACTTGGTAACAACAGGGTTTGATGTGGGACAGTCTGTAACATGGTAACAACAGGGGGTTGATGTGGGACAACCTGTAACATGGTAACAACAGGGGGTTGATGTGGGACAACCTGTAACTTGGTAACAACAGGGTTTGATGTGGGACAACCTGTAACATGGTAACAACAGGGGGTTGATGTGGGACAACCTGTAACTTGGTAACAACAGGGTTTGATGTGGGACAGTCTGTAACATGGTAACAACAGGGGGTTGATGTGGGACAGCCAGTAACTTTGTAACAACAAATCAAAAATCAAATAAAATGTTATTTGTCACATGCGCCGAATATAACAGGTGTAGTAGACCTTACAGTGAAACGCTTAATGACAATCCCTTAACCAACAATGCAGTTTTAAGAAAGAATACCAAAAAAAATCACACAAAAATACTATATAAAATAATACGAAATAAAAGTAGCAAATAATTAAAGAGCAGCAGTAAAAATAACAATAGCAAGGCTATATACAGGGGGTACCGGTACCGAGTCAATGTGCGGGGGCACCGGTTAGTCAAGGTAATTGAGGTAATATGTACATGTAGGTAGAGTTATTAAAGTGACTATGCATAGATAATAAACAGAGAGTAGCAGCAGCGTAAAAGAGGGGGAATGGGGGTGTAGAATAGTCTGGGTAGCCATTTTATTAGATGTTCAAGAGTCTTATGGCATGGGGGTAGAAGCTGTTTAGAAGCCTCTTAGACCTAGAATTGGCGCTCCGGTACCGCTTGCCGTGCGGTAGCAGAGAGAACAGTCTATGACTAAGGTGGCTGGAGTCTTTGACAATTTTTATGGCCTTCCTCTGACACCGTGATGGCAGGAAGCTTGGCCCCAGTGATGTACTGGGCCGTACACACTACCCTCTGTAATGCCTTGCGGTCGGAGGCCGAGCAGTTGCCATACCAGGCGGTGATGCAACCAGTCAGGATGCTCTTGATGGTGCAGCTGTAGAACCTTTTGAGGATCTGAGGACCCATGCCAAATCTTTTCAGTCTCCTTAGGGGGAATAGGTTTTGGTGTGCTTGGACCATGTTAGTTTGTTGGTGATGTAGACACCAAGGAACTTGAAGCTCTCAACCTGCTCCGCTACAGCCCTGTCGATGAGAATGGGGGCGTGCTCGGTCCTCTTCTTTTTCCTGTAGTCCACAATCATCTCCTTTGTCTTGATCACGTTGAGGGGGAGGTTGTTGTCCTGGCACCACACAGGGGGTTGATGTGGGACAGCCTGTAACTTGGTAAAGACGGGTTTCTGGGAGTAAAATGTAAACCTCCATTAATCACACCTAGGAGAACCCAGGCTCACTACCCTAGTGTGTGTGTGTGTGTGTGTGTGTGTGTGTGTGTGTGCGTGCGCATATTAGCTTGAAACCATATCAGTTGCTTACAGCACATTGTCTTCATGTCGATGGCCTACAGTGTGATGCCAGAGTCCTACTGCATTCATACACATTTATATTATCGGTTATAAAATGCCTCATTGTTGCCCTTCTTACCTATGCTATAATATCTAGATCATTAGTGAAATGGATGATGACTATCTTAGCTGCATAGATCACACTTAAGTTGTGAACCTCCATCTCTCTGTGGCTAGTCTTTGGGTTTTGCCCTCAGGCCTCCACACTCTACATTTTTTAGTTTGCTGCATTAGAGCAGGAAATGTCTGTCCTCTCTGGCCTCTGTGGAGGGTGGGCAGGGCAGTGCAGTGTAGCGCAGCAGGTGAGGTGAGGTGAGGGGGACAGAAGTGTGAAAGCCTGTGGTCAGGTTTCTGTTTGATCTCTGACAGAGAGAGCAGAGGGGTTTATGAACCTCAGGGGGTGAGGGTGATGGCTCCTGATGTCCTGTGCCTTTTATCTGTCATGGACAGCAGGCTACCAAATGGCTCTCACACAGAGAGAGGTACATGTGGTCGATACTCACAGTTGTCATTGTACTAAAAACAACTTGTCCTGTGATGAGGTGCCATTGTAAGGGGGATGGCACTGCCGGATTACACACTTGAAAGGACAATGGAACTACTTTTTACACACACACTCACTCTCTCTTACTCTCACTCTCACTCACTCACACACACACACACACACACACCTACTATAGTATTAAATATGATTCATAGTGCTCAGCCTAGAATTGTACCATATTCCAGAACTTGATTACTAGCTGGGACCACAGTAGTTGCAGACTACCCATGTTTTATATATACTAGGTCCCGAGCTGAAGAGACTGATTTTAATTTAATTTAATATTCTTACATTTTATGGTGTCTGGTTTTGGTTGCATAGCAACTGTACATGTTTTGACATTTAATCTTAAATGGGACATACAGTTCCCTCGATTGTGAATAAACTTCGATAGGCGACGACAACAAGAGGTGTCGCATGTGAAAATGTACATGCCAAGCTAATCATCCCCATATTAACTCACTGGAAATAGAATGGTTCATCTGTTAATGTACATTGTTTTTGTTTGTTGATATTTAAATATAAAAGAAGAGTTAATAACCTTGGTAGTAACTGTCTCTTAATCAGGGCTGGGGTCAGTTTCAATTGAAGGCAGTCAATTAAGGAAATTATTTTAATTTAAAATTAAAAAATATAAAAATGTTTTAAATAAATAGCTTTTTACTCCTCAGTTTGAGAGGTCATTGAAAATAGATGCTGTTTTTTTTCTCTCACATTTTGGAATTGTTATTTAAGTTAACTTCAATTCAAATGGACCCCTGCTCTTATTCACTGTGTTAAAGTGCGGATGCCATATTGTGTTCTAGATGGTTTTCTCTTATTGCACTGTGTTAAAGTGCGGATGCCATATTGTGTTCTAGATGGTTTTCTCTTATTGCACTGTGTTAAAGTACGGATGCCATATTGTGTTCTAGATGGTTTTCAGTGTATATGTAGACTGGTAGAGAATCTATTCCATTCACACTCATTGACTGTGGATCACTGCATTGACTCTGAACCTATTGTGCAAAATAAATGGGAAACTGAAACTGGAATAATAAATTATGAAATAATTCCTGTTGTTTTTCCCTCTCTATTCAAATGGCATTTGTGTTCCCTCTCTATTCAAATGAAATTCTTATCTTGTATATATCATAGTGTGTTGTTGCTTCTAAAAGCATTTTTGCAGTGTGTAAATGTGTAGTACTGTGATTTGAGAAAAAAGGAGTGCTGGTCTACTAGGTTGGTAACTTTCTGGGCAGTACACTGAATGTAAAAGAAGAGCTCCCTCTGGTGGAGAATGGTCAAACCCACTACAGCCCAATCACGTGCTATGTCCTTGGTTCTCAACTTTCTGCTATTATATGTTATGGAGCAATACCACTGCACCCAAGGTTTACATACACAGTGAACTCTGAATTCCGGCCTTACACTATAATCAGGTTGCGGATTAGAGGCATTGCTGTTTTTAAAGGCAATGTTCCCGCATACGTGGAGATCCCATTCACGGTTAACGCTGCATATGTTGGCTTATTCGGAAACTGCCTTTAAAGCCGTAATCAAATCAAATCAAATCAAATTTTATTGGCCACATGCGCCGAATACAACAGGTGCAGACATTACAGTGAAATGCTTACTTACAGCCCTTAACCAACAGTGCATTTCTTTTTAACAAAAAAAGTACAAATAAAACAAAAAAACAAAAAAGTGTTGAGAAAAAAAGAGCAGAAGTAAAATAAAATAACAGTAGGGAGGCTATATATATAGGGGGGTACCGGTGCAGAGTCAATGTGCGGGGGCACCGGCTAGTTGAGGTAGTTGAAGTAATATGTACATGTGGGTAGAGTTAAAGTGACTATGCATAAATAATTAACAGAGTAGCAGCAGCGTAAAAGGATGGGGTGGGGGGGCAGTGCAA